TATTACAGATAATGATATTAATTTTTATATTTATTTTAGATGTTAATGAATGTAACAGTAATCCTTGTTTTAATGGTGGTATATGTTTAAATCAATTCAATCATTACACCTGTATCTGTATGAGTGGATGGACAGGAACTGTTTGTAATATAGGTAAGTCATATTAATTAATGTCTAAATGGCTTTTTTGTTATTTCTTGTACACAAACACAAAGTTAATAATTTTCTTCATCCCTTTGGGGTAATTTAGTCTACTGCAAAGAAAAGCTGAAAGTAGCCCTTTTACTTCTCCAATATCAAAGTGTAGTTTGGTCATATCAAAAATGTTTGTATTGCCTCTAACACAGAACTGTTTCCTGAATTATTATTAAAAATTATATTCATTTGAATACTTCTGGTAGTATTAAATGTCTGCTAAAATGTGTGTGATATAAAACTTCTCCACTAATCATATTTAGTGGTGATTCATCTCGGTTTGTGAAACAGCCACAGTTTGAATTCATTTCAAATTTACTAATTATGTTTTTAGTTCAATGCATCCTCCAATATAATTTGTACATATGGAAAATTATTTCAAACAGCGCCTAGATTACTTTCGGACATTTTGTCTCGTTTCGGAATGTTTTAATTTTCAAAACTTTTGAATATTTATTTGTACTTTTAGGTTAGTGAGGAGGTTATAATAATTTCACTTTAACAATGTTTTTTCACTGGTCAGACCGCTTTAAAATGTCACTTTTTCACACAAAACTGCCATTATACATGTTGATTCTAAAGTCTATCAACCTTTCGAACATTAGAACTTGCATAAATTGCTTAAATTTCTGGACAATAATTTATCAAGTAGAATTGAAAATGAGAAAAATGATTATAGACTGAAAATATTTCCATCAAAATGGTATTTCTGAAGCTCTTTGTTTTAGGCTACTGTAGAGTCATTGAATTTTGTTATTCACAATTTCACAATTCTACCTGTTATAGTTACTACACTTGCCAGGTATGTGCAATTCTAAATTTAAAAAAACCTAATCGCGAAAACTACGCTTGGGCAATTGAATTGAATGTTTTTAATTTTGCAAAAATAACAAAAAAAATATGAATATTTAATGTATTGTTTACATTTATTGTAACACTCAAAATTTGATACAATTCTGATAATCTGCAAAGTAAATGACAGATTAAATGGCTGCTCTGTGATATAGACCTTCCTGTTTTACTATTTAATACCATAATGCATAACACAAATTACTCCTGCTAATCTGATTGGCTCAGTTAAATTCATTGATGTAATTCGTTAACAATAAATATAAAATTTTGTTTTTTCAGATGTTGATGAATGTGCAAGTAATCCATGTCAACACAATGGAACGTGTAATAACTTGCGAAATGAGTATTCCTGTAACTGTGTTAACGGCAGAGAAGGAGATTACTGTCAAATCGGTAATGTACAATCAACAAGTGTTTTCATAATTGAATGTAGGAATTTTAATTTCACTATGACCATATTATCATTGGTTGTGTGTACATGTGCTTTTGTATTATCTTGCAGGTTTTTTTCATGTGAAAATATTTTTATTATTATTTTAAAATTTGTTTTTTTTATCCTCTTCAGCAGAGTGCAGATGAAGCATATCATTGAGTAAATGTACTTTTTATAATTGTCCAAAATCAATCTAATAAAGTTTGTTTTTAAAATCATGTGTGTAGCCCTACTTACTTCATACCCTAGTCACATCATAATTTATTATCACAGTTTCACTTTCCCATTTATTATTTATCTGGGTTTTTGCACAAAATTTGCCTTTTAACCTCCAACCCTCTTTTTTTATGGGTAATCACAAAAAGTGCTATGGTGACTAAATTTGTTCACTTCCCCATATTTGTTATTAATTATATATATTAATTGTACCACCCACTTATCCTCAGGTGTGATATTTTATAACTAACTTGTTAAAAGTACTGCATGAATTCAATATAAAGCACCAACACTGCTAACACTTTAAATAATTTCATCCCTGCCATTTTAATACATGCTTGCTACTTGTCTGGTGATATGTACCTAGGTATTTGCTTGTGGCATGTGGCTAACCTTGTCTATATGCCTTGGTATATGCTTGTTACATGCCTGTGACCATGTCCATGTGACTATGTATATGGTTGCGACATGTACAGAGATGTGATTGTGACCATGTCCTTATACCTTGGTAGCATAATTATAGTTCAAACCCTCTGGTGTTTTCTATCGCATTCTATGATGGGTAACTGGTTCTTTGCATACTTTCATATTTGATTTATGATTTCATATTGTTTGTTTTCATTTATACCTTTATTTTTTATGTTGACACAACACAGTTATTTGTCTAATGTTTCAGCTTTCTCGTTCATAGTTCATCTGTCTTTTGTACTGTCATTCTTGCTCTGATTGTGAAACTGAAAATTTTCCTATTTCTATGCTAACATGACTCTACAACCACTAGCATCTTTATGTACCATACTTATACTTATGTAAGCCTGAGGACTGGTGAGGGGATAGTTGAATTTAAGTTGTCAAAATTAAATAATAACAAACACAGTAAATGAATAGTTCATCTTTGTAAAATATGTAAATGAATCTTATAATATCAATTATTTGCAATATTTAGCTTAATTAATGCTTAAAATATGTCATAGCCAAGTTTTGAGATTATGTAAGTATATTCAGCTCTTTATTTGACCATACATGTCATTTCTTTTTCAGACATCAATGAATGTGTCAGTAATCCATGTCAGAACTCAGCTACATGTGTTGATGGTTTGGATGGATATACTTGTAATTGTTATCCAGGCTTTACAGGGACATTCTGTGAAACAGGTAAATGGATGCATGAATTTGTATTCACCACAATAAGAAACAACATAAATATTTAATATATTGCTGACCAAACAGATTAGAATTATATAATGTGATTAGGGAGACTCATCAATGATTCTATAGTACTAGACCAGAACTGTTTTGTTATCATGATGAAAAAAACAACTTTTAATGACAGTGAGCTGATACACACGAAAGTTGAAATTTAAATTAAAACATTACCTGCTGACAGATCTACAGATATACCAAAATCAATGGGATAAGTCAGTAGGAAATGTGTTAAATTGAACGATTCACTTATGGCTCTCTTTACTGATTATATCTTAACATTGATTAACATTTGTCCAAAGCAACAATCTAACATAGCTGATTATAAATTCTCTGAAATGATGTACGTTTTTGTTTTCATTTAAGATATTAATGAATGTGCTAGTAATCCCTGTTTGAATGGTGGTACTTGTACTGATATGGTGAACAGATTTTCATGTTCTTGTCATTCTGGATGGCAGGGTTTAACCTGCCACCAAGGTAAGTGTACTTTGAATGTCAGTCAACTTTATTTACCTTTCTCATAATAAATCTGCAAGACATTTTTCAAAAAAAGAGACTTGAATGCAATGAGAAATTAATATGCAAATTTGATCCAAAATGAAATTAACAAAGAAATGAATAGAAGAATACATATAAAGATGTGAGAAATATTGCAGCAACATTTTGGTGGGAATGATCACAAAACTGCAAGACTAAAGTCTAAATTTCTAGGAATTCCAATGCACTGAAATTATGATATTCTGGTTTTGTCTTGGGCCATTTCTGCTAGTATTCGCAAAGCATGTATCATAATCCCTCTCATTTCTGTCTATGCAACTAGGACATTTACAAGTGTTATCTGCATTCTCTAATGCTATTGGTCAAAATATGTTTAAAATATGATTATGTGCACATGGAACTGTTGACATTATGAGATTGTCGTCATATATCACCGTACATATTAAAGTTGCTTACCCATAATGATATCATATAAATCATTGGTTTAATTATATATGAAAATAAAGTGTACATATCAGATAAATGTTCATAGCTGAGCTTCAAAGGCAACCAAAACCAAATTTATTTCAGTCTATATTGTTACTGCAGCATCCTTATATAAAGTAAAACCATAAAGTACTAACTATTGTATTTATGTTTAGATGTGAATGAATGCGTCAGTAATCCATGTGCTAATGGTGCTACTTGTAATAATGGTTTCAATTCATGGAGTTGTAACTGTTCACCTGGATGGACAGGATTACGCTGTCTGGACGGTAAGGTCTCCCTCTACTATATTGTGCAGACTGTAATTTTATGTGATTGATAAATTACTTGTGTCATTACGGTACTGTAACTGAATTACCCCAGCAACATTTCCTAGACTAACATAACACCCGTTTGGCAGAATGAATGCTTTACAATAAAATACCCCCTCTCCTTCACATGTGTGTTTTGAAGTTGTGATAAAAACAATTAAACCATGACTAAAAATTCTGCCTTCTACGAAAATTTATATATTACATTGTTAATATTTATAATATGATATGTATATGTAGCATTGAGTCACCATTCGATGAAATATAACTATACATGTATTTTGAGCAGATTGCAAGTGACTTTAAAAACCATCCCACAGTCTGAATAACAAAATATGGACTTTAAATTGAACTCCCTCAATGATTGAAAATTATGTGTCAGTGAACATTTATACTTTCATAAATACCGGTAGATACATTTATTCCTGGCCACACATTCATACAACAAAGTGTCATGTACTTACTAGTCCTCAGAATTATTCGCTCCACGGCTTATAAATTTAGCCGGGTGTTGTCCACTCAATGTAAGGTCTTGGCATGTGATGATATAAAGCAACTGTTGAAATTTATATCATACTAATTTCTTATCATTTATTTCAGATTTTGATGAGTGTAGTAGCAGTCCCTGTCAAAATGGAGCTACATGCCTTAATGGAGTTAATAAATATGTCTGTATGTGTCCAGCGGGCTGGACAGGACTCACCTGTAACACAGGTCAGAATTTGTCATATTATTACATCTGTCATCGTAACGCCGTAAGTTGCAGCGTGTCGTAATTTTGTGTTTTTTTACAGAGTATTTTCATCCTACCATATTAAGAAACGCGAATTCCAAATATAGATGATTAATAAAAACAAACATGGCTGCCACCAGAGTTTGACTGGGCTCCACACAAAGAAGTTCGCTGATTCTGTTCTAAACATTTTGGATTTCAGCATTCCCATGGTGTATCCTTGGAATGAAAAGATGTACAATAATAAGATTATTACGAGGATACTTCAAAGTATGCACTAAGACAGTACATTTGCTTTATCATAGATGAACCATGTAAACATGTAACAGAAATATTCATTTATGTGAAATGTCAATGTTTTAAATTTCATCCATTGTAACAGTTACAATGTAATCATCTCAATCACAGCACTTTATTACAAATTCACATCAGTATCAGGTCCCTAATATATATTTTATGTTACTAGTTCAAGATTCCTAATTGATTTTCTTATTCATCATTCTCATATTAATTCTAATACTGGTGTTGTGTTTCTCTATCAATTACAATGTTGTTCTTATCATAGGTTAATAATGTCTCTTTATTGTAGATGTTGATGAGTGTCTTAGTACACCTTGTATCAATGGTGCAACCTGTCATAATGGACAAAATCACTATAGCTGTACTTGTTTACCTGGATGGGAAGGAATTAACTGTCAAAGAGGTAAGTAATTATCAAGAGAGACCATTATAGTTTGATAGTAAAGCAGTACTAACATCATATCCAATTGATATCCAAATTTTGAGTCCTTTAATAAATTTACATTTACCGTTAAATCTGTATTAGAAGCTGCATCCCTAATAGAAACCGCACCCATTCTTTTTGAACAATTGAGACACAAAAATTCACCATTTCTCATACGTGTAGATGCTCTAATAGAAGCCGCATCCCCTCTGTTGTATTGTACCATTTTAAGGTAGAGATGCAGTTTATTTGTGAATTTCAATCAAAAATAGTTTTTTTCGTTTTTTATATAGATTTTTATCTAAAGAACATTCTGTGAAAATTTGACCAATGAATTCTTATTGGAACACCGTTAAAATTGCTGTTTATTTTTTGGTTAAAAATTAAAAACACTCACACGTGGCAATGTTTATGTCCAATTGCCGCGGCTTCCAATACCGATTTTACAGTACATATAGTGACAATACAGACAACTGACACAATCTACAAGCACAAAACAACTGATAAGTACACTACAATACAAGATGCTGCATTGTTTGAGTTATGGACATCGAGTTATGAACATCAACTTCTGAAACCATTGAAGTTACAAAAATGGCGCCCATCTTTTAGAAACCACGCCCCAAATTATAAGTCAATGTTCAATTAACAGTTAACAAAACTTTAAGTTACGGGCAAAATACATTTTTGTTTTTGTTGAACGTCCACATTCAGTAACTCAAACTTATAATTAATCAAACTTCAAGTTACAGGCAACATACATTTTTAGTTTAGCATATCCAACAGTTCACAGTTGAATCAGTGAGAGAAAGATATATGGTTCATTCAAGAAGTGACATCAGGACCCTGCAATCTGTTAGAAAATTCATAAATCATATGATGTACATTGATTTATATGTGACTAGCTACAGTAGCCAT